ATGTCCGTGCTGAACTTGGGAACCGGCCACCCTCTGGTTCCCAAGCCAAGTCCCTGTGGACTGAGGAACTGCCGCCCACGAGATTGACTTACTTGTTTGTATTTCTTTTTAGATTGGAGCAACCATTTAAATGGGCCTTTATCAGCCGAACTCCATCTGCTAATAAGGCTAAAAGCTCAGAAAGAAACCAAGTAAACCTTTAGATTTGTATTTTTTGGGCGATGATTCAATTTCCACTGGGCTGCAATGTATGAAAGATTCTCCTCGAAGCAGTTAAACAATTACAATTACATTTTAATGAATTTCCAAAGTTTGGAACATTAGGGGGTTTCTACTGCAACCCCGTCAGGAGAGCTGTCCTCACATTTGACTCTTTTGGCCTTTTGCCTTATTTAATTACAGGCAGGAAACGCAGCCTGACTTCCTGGAGTCAAACAAGGGCGGTGCAATTGTATGGTATGCAGCTAAGCAGACGCCCCATAAGAAGACATATTTCATTTATTTAACGAAAAAGAAAAAGAAAGGAATGAAAAGGGAAAGAAAGAGCAGCACAAACAATATCAGTGATGCAGTCTCCAGCCTGAGCTCCGTGCTGACGTGAGAGTCTCACCGTGTCTGTAGGGATTCTGTAGTGCAGCCACACCTGACCCGACGGCCAACAGGGCTTTCTGGATGGGGGTGGTGTGGATATGTCCGGGATACAGCCCATCATAGCAGCTGTCTGTGAACCCGGGGCTACTGTGCAGCTGGTGGACACACACTGCTGAGACAAAGGTGGAGCAACATTGGGGACTTCTTATATAACTGTACCAAGATAGTCTAACAATGCAGCTGTTTAATTGCTCTCACACGACCATAACAACTAGTCAGTGACTTTATTAGGAAAAGCATTTACTCCTGGGGATCATACTACAGAATGGTTTCACTTTCACTATACACTATGTTGCAACTTGTTAATAATTAGGAGCCCATAATAATACACTTTATTCCCCACAAGGATATTTATTTCTAACACCGGTCCCCCCTCCCCCTCCAGCACATTTGCTTTGTCTCCTTCAGGGAAGTGATCATGAGCTGCACCCCACTGATAAAGAACAGCACAGACTTCCCCAAACTTTATGTGTAAAGGTTATGTGTCTGTCAGTTGGGGAAAGTTATTCTACTATATCAGCAGAGCAATAAACATGCTGTGGGCAGATTCTGGCTATCACATCATCTGCAGAAAGCCCACTGAGCTTTAATCACTTTATGAAGTCATGACAGTTTCAGGTTAGTGGAAAACAAAAAAAAAACAGGTCCCTCAAAACAAATATTTCTGCTGTCATTTTCTATAATAATAAGATCAGGAGTTTATTGGTGAAACCTTCATTTGCTTCTCTTAAAAAGTGACTAAAGCTCAGTTTAGTCATTCATATTAATTCAACCACTTTTTAAAATGATTATCCATCGTTTCGTTCAGTTCACACTTGACATTAATATCCTGAAATACCAGTAAATCTTCCACCAGACAACTAACCATTGTTAGAAGCGACAACCTGACTGTAGCTCACGAAGCTAACGTTACCTGCAGCAGAGGGAGTGTGTGCACTCGCCTCGTAGCTTGCAGCTATCTAAACTAAAGCTTTGACATTAAAAATAAATAAATAAATGAAGCAGTGGGTGTATTCTCGCTTTTCCAGATAACGTTAGCAGAAGACACGTACGGAAACTCATACCTTTGGAGAACAACACGCACTGACGCTGTCTTAACCATTGGAAACCTTTAACCGCACACAGCGACATTCTGGACGCGTATACGCATGCGCACAGCAGTTTCGCCACCTCGCTTCCCCGGCGGAGGGGGCGGTGTTTGGTCAAGCCTAATGCACCGTGTAGTAGAGAAATGGCTCCGTCCTCGCCAGCTGCCCTCTAATGAATTAACGAATGTAGCGTAGGAGCAGAGTGTAAACAGCTAAAGGTTGAGCTGCCCTTCTCAGGATATTGCAGACAACAAAACGGTTTCGTTTTCTGTCCGACAGAGACTCAAGACTTTAAGGTTAGTTAGCTGAGCTGGTGCTTCTTCTTAGCTAACCGACTTAATTAAAATAAAAAATAAAAACATAGTTGTCAGTTAGTCAAACACTGCCTTACTTTAGCCTTTTTTAGTTAGCTTGCCTAAAGTTGTGTATCTTATCAAGAAATAAAGTGTTTACATCATGTTTTAACCGCCTGTAACTCAAACTGCAAAGTTATTTATTATATATATATATATATATATATATATATATATATAAAAAGACAACTACATAAGTTATTCACAGACTAAGTGACCACAAGATAGCCATACTGCCTCTGAGTCAGTGGAGTTGCCCTGGTGTGTAATATATAGCCTCACTTGTGCTGACGTGTGTGTGTGTGTGTGTGGGTGTAACTATACCGGGTATGAAATACTCTGGTATGAAATACGTACGCCTTATAACTCGAACAGGGAGGTTTTCAAGGTAAGTGAGTGAAGATTTTGTTGTAGTTTCAGTACAGGTCGCAGGGTGGGTTCAGAGTCTAGAAACCGCTTGTTTGGAGCAAAAAAAGAGATATACGGACCAAGAACATGGCGAACGCATAGGGCGAGCTATTGGGCGCCCTGCCAGCTTTAAAAAAGGCAGTCAGGGACATTTGTTTGAGACAAAAAAAGGGGGTACTAAAGGGGTTTGTTTGTGCTTTAGTTGTTAAGTTTTAATCCAGAGAGCAGCTGTTGGTGTTGGTGATAGTTCTTCCACAGACATGATTGTTTACACTCACTTTACACAGCTGTAACTGGACACAATTCAAGAAGTGTATGTTTTATCACAGCTTGGTTAAAGTGGAGTTAGTGCATGGCTGCTTGCATGTTCTTTGTGCTCTTGTTTCTGACATTTTCAGCCACACTGTACACAGATTCAGGTCTGATTATTGGTCTTTTCAGGATGGTGGTGGAGTATAGTGTCACAAAGAGAAACCAGCATATGGTTTCTACATGATATTTCCTGCTTTATGATTGTTTTCACTGGATTTTTATTTGCTACCCTCTGAAGGTTTCCATGGACACACAAACTAAACACCAGCCTCGGTGTGTGCTTGGTTCGTTGTTCACTGCAAAGGGTCTTTTTCATGTCATTCAACAGCGTTTTACCAGTGCTTACCTGTGTCAGCTTAATGAATCATATTATACCTGTTTTTATTGCTCAGTGATTGTGAAAGGTCGTAATGGGTTACGCACTGGGTAATGCACTTTTCGTAACAGTGAAAACATTTAAGTGTGCCGTTTAAATGTGTTGCAGACTTTCTGAGAATTGTGACAGGGAGTGATGGTGTGACGGCTGATAAGCAGCAGTGAGGTTTTTCTGAGAAATGTAATGTGAAACTTTTTCTCGCCTTAAATGAGGTTTTCTTCTGAAGTTGATATTAAGTAATCTCTGGTGAAACAAGACAACCAAGTGATTACTAATCATTAATCTGGAACATGCTGTTCCCCTCTCCACGTGATAGGGAAGATTTAGCAATATCTTTTGACAAACTCATACAAAAATTAACATGACTCAGTCTTCTTAGAAAGGCTAACAAAATGTCAGTAATGGTTAAGAATTTGCCTAAATATTATGTTTTACACAGTTAAAATGCTTTCTAATGTCATAGATCTAGCTAACAACCTTATGTTAGCACAAATGTTTATTGAATCAAACAAAAAAAAACCCCAGGAAGTGTTAATGTTACTTGAAAGATGCATTGCTGGTCATATGTTGCCACTTGTGACAGTTGAAGTCTCATGAGTACAAGCACTCTAGATATTAGTCTTCTGATCATTTTTTTCAGATTTATAGTTATATTAAGTCATTTTGTGAAGATCATTATGACTGCTAGAGGTTAGAGTGTGTCCTGTTTAGTTGGTTTCAGTCTTCATATGGTTACTGAGTTCGCAGGCCACAGTAACAGTTTGCTAGTTTCATGTACCTGCCACTTTTAATCTAACCTCTCTACAGACATCTTTCAGAAGATTTCCTGCGTCTGAGACACGGCTTAATCTGAGTTCATCACAAAAAGACGATTCAGATCTTTAAGCCATGTCAACAAAAAGTTGACTCTCATGACCAGCAGAAGCACAATGAGTAAGCCTATCTCAGCCTTATCACAGAGGCTGCAAACGTTTGCATGGCTGGCTTTTTTTACAGAGAAGATTTCCATAAATTTCCCCCAGTCAGCTTGTACAGGATGAATAGTGTTCTGTAACTAAACCCTGCAATGTGGGTAGAAAATATTTACTGCATCTCCACGTAGTGTAAACAGGGGTAGCTTTGTTAGGTTTTCCCCATTTTCGGGAAAAGGCTGAGATGAAACGTGTGTGTTTTTGCCAGTGGCATTGTTGATTGACACTGATCAAAGATCTGCTTTGTCTCAAAGCAAATGAATAGGTGGAGACACTGCTCAGAGCTATTGGGCTTGTGTACTGTGAGTTCAAACCAGATGAACTTCATATTATTATAAAACCCTCAAACCTATCGCAGACAAGCAGGGAAGATCTCAAATGTGATGTGCTCATGTCACCACATGCAAAGTTGCAATCTGCTCGTATTCTTTGCAGAATGCATGAGCTGTGTGTCGACATACTGTACTTGCATGCACGTACATAGCATACCACTTTCTGCAGCTGTGTGTAAAACTAAACCCAGCCAGGTGTGTGCACGACATTCACTGAAGAAGTATTTGCTCTGGGCGTGTGGGAATATGTTAGTATAAGATGACAGCATGACATCTCATATAGCAAAAACACTCCCCACTCATTTTCCCATAAGGGACTTTTCAATGACAAATCATGTGCTCATAACTGATTAAATCCACTATTGCATTTACTGCTACCATTGCAGACATGTAGGGGTCAGTGCAACACTGCTTTTCTACCATAAAAGATGTCTAATTGAAAGGAAAACCTAAATAGAAGAGAAAACCAATGTGTGATTGGCATCTTTCAGTGTAGGTCCCGCCCAGGTGCCCACAAGATTCAGCTCAATAGCACTGAAAAGTTTTGGGTTTGCAAAAAAAAACCAAAACCTTTTCATTGCATTGTTGATAGATTTGCTCTCCCAACCCTTTTAATTGTATGATGAAGACAACAGCAACTCCATATAGCTGTACTGACGGCACTGAATGTGTAAAATGATGTTACAGCTCACCGTCTTCAGTTTACCAGAGTGCCCTTCGTGATACTTCCACTAGATGGCACCAAAGGAAGGAATATTCTCGTAAACAAAAGTTGCTTTAAGTTGCTTTTTCGGATGCAAAAAAAAAAAGGATTTTATTAAAGATATTGTGACCACAACCAAATTTGATCCATTGTGCATTGTGTTAAAGTTAAGTCAAACCTTTTCTGGACCCCCAGTATTTGGGAAGTGTAGACTAAAACCATCTTCAGTTTTCTGTGAAATAACAGATATTGCGAAAGCAATATGAGCAGTTTTTTCTTTTGCAGTACTTCTGCTCTAACCGGTTACCATGTTTATCTGATAATAATTCTGTCACCAGTTTGTCAGTTACCCGACAGATTCTTTCTCATAGATATTTCTTTTTTCCTCGGTAGACACTGCTGATAACAGCTCGAAAGAATTCACACGTATCTCATATCAGTTTCATATCTAAAGAAAGGGTTTAAGAAAAGCAGGTTGTACACAGGTTCCACTGTAGCCTTGATGGATTTACATCTTTTTGAATTTCATGCAAACTAGGTATTACTACCAACCATTTTATTTCACTCGAAGATGCCTGCAACATTTGGCTATAAAATATAAAACAAGTTAAATATTTCACAGCCAAACCTAACATGGTTAAACTGGCAGACTCACACAGTTTCATAACGATGAATCAGCCTTATTCTCACTGTACAATTATTTGCTCAAAGGCTTTAGTACAGAACACATGTGCTGACACTGACAATAGGTGTAACTCTGACAGACCGGTATGCAGCTTGGTGTTCAATACCTAATTATTTGTTATTATATGTGACATGGGAAAAACAAAACCTTGGCTGGTATACTGGCTCGTTCCTGTTGCACAAGTATTGTGAAAGTTTTTTCAAACTGTTTGGTTAAGAGCTGTTTTCTTTGGCGTTCACAGGAAATAGCACCAGATTGATGGAGAAGAATGGCCCGAATTTCGTTGGACTGTGCAAACTCTTTACCAGGGATCCCTCTCAGTGTACTGTCAGTGCCCATGGAGAATAAATACAAATGTCAGCAGTGTCTCCTGGTCCTGAGGAAGCCTGTCCAGGCTCAGTGCGGCCACCGCTTCTGTGTACACTGCTTCAAGCAGCTCACCAGGTAGACTGGAGGTCCTCAGACCACCAACAACCGTGTGAAATGCAAACCCCTTCACCCCCTAATGCTTACCCTCTTGTCGGACATGCTTCAGCACATCCTGTGTTCTTATCTCTCGCTCGCATCTGGGAATTTTTTATGCACTCAAGATCAGTTACTTTATGCAAACTCATCCCTCACATGACTGGAATCTAATGGGGTCAGTGAATGACAAGGATCTGACCATGCTGACTCATTCTAAAGGTGTCCATTGTTTTCTTTTCCACTTCTTTTTCACTGACTCACTGGTTGTTCATGAATGCAGTGCGAATGCATTACGAATACATTGGTGTGTCACCTTATGTCTAGTGATACTTTGGGAGTATCATTAATCATAAGGGCACAGTAGAGGGAATTATACTACAAAAAAACTAATCCTATATAACATGCATGTAATGGAGTCTCATTTTGCTAATCTTCCACCAACAAACACCAAAGAGCACTTGTGTGTATTTTTCACGTCACTTTCACCTGGTCTCAAAACCACCAAGTGCCTGTGTCATGTGGATTTCGTTACATGTGAAATGCAGTTTCACATGTAGTAAACTTTAACCTTTACACAAACCACAAGTGAAATAGGTGTTTTGAAAAGGTCATTACATGTGACCTGTTTAAAAAACAAAAACCCCTGCTGTCTATACAATTTCATCATGTCATAGTGATAGTTTCACATGTTCTCTTTGTTTGTGTGCATGTGTGTGTTATTCATTTATTTGCCCTCAATCTTTGCAAAAGCTAATACATTTCCTCATGAATTTCACAAACCTTATCAAGGTTACACATTTCAGCATTCACATAGAGCTACAAGCTTTTTTTGTTTCTGCTGCTGTTGTATTGATTACTGATTCATGTACCTGAGCTGCAGTCCATACTGGTCAGCAGTTGTTGGTAGTAATGGGTCAGCAGGAAATTGTTGCTGACCTTTAGTGCCAACCAGCAGGGTTTATTTTATTTTTTTTTCACAAACCTGTTTTGTTTATTAGTTCTGGCCCAAAACCATGTGAAGCCTGCCGCCAAGAAGAGATATATGAGGAACCAATTTCCATTCTAAATAGTAATGAGGTAAGTTATGAAGTATTTCGTTTCCAGCCAACATTGTTATTTTATGACACATCCTCCCTATCTGTATACCATTCCTCACCCCCACTCTGTTTCAAAGAATAATATATGACTACAGTCTGACTGGTTTCCTCCAACACAGACTACGGACATACAATCCTTTTATGTCTGTTTGCTATTATAATTTGTGGCTTCATGAGCTCACTGAACTGTGTTCTTTGCTCTTTGACCAGGCATTTCCAGACAATGCTGCAGGTCGAGAAATAGCGAGTCTGCCTGCCAGGTGTTTGAACCAGGGCTGTAATTGGACAGGATCCATAAAAGAGTATGAGGTGAAGTATAAAGTTCAGTTTGTGGGGGTGTGTGTGTGTGTTTTCACTGCTTTTGTACTTGAGTGTGTGTGTCCCATTCTGCCATATATTAACCACATGTCAGTTTACCACAACAGTACTGTCAGTATGGTATTTTTTTTCAATCTTTCTAAACCATCAGTACATAGTGTACATATTCTACAATCCATACTTGTTTTTCTCTTCAAGTGCTCATATTATGAATGTGTTTGTGTTACTGCGCTGCAGTGGGGAACAGGAAGTGAAACTTAACATGCTGCCTTGGAAAGTCCCTGTGTTAGCAACAACAACTCAGTGGGAAAGTACCAGGATATAAAAGGGCTTTTAACTCAAGATTAGCATGACTGCTGATTATGGTTAGTTGACCATTACACGGTAATGAAACTGACTTTTTTTAGATTTACCAGTGGTACCAGTTCACAAGGGAACTGGTGAATTTTCATGCAGACATGCAGAAACAGGAATGGATTTAGACAATGAGCTACGCCCTTCAGACAGACTGTGATTTTTATAATAAAGTTAAAGCCCCCGTAAAGCTGTTCTTGTGTTTGCCTGAGTGTTGTCTGTCTACTAGTTCTGTTTCTACTGTAAATATCTACGTGTTGGGGCAAGGTTGTTTAGTAAAGAGACTTCCTGATTATAAGTCTGTGCAAAGGATGTTTGTTTCTTGTCTGTTTGTGGTTTACTTAACTGTCACCTCAAACCAGGATATGTGAGACTGACGTGATGACATGAAAATGAGCACACACGGCTGATGCTGGAGATTATTTTGCATGTTTTGCAAATGTGGTTCCGTCTGGTTAGCTTGCTCATAAAACTTCTTCTTCTGAAGAATCACATGCTTGCTTTTGGGCTCCAACTTCGCTATAGTTTTATTTCAGCAGTCGAGAAATGATTACTATGCTGTGCGACATCCCACGTTCTGTGGGTTGCTGCCGGCTTAGTCATTGTTGTGTCGGAAGATCCGCGCTAGTGGTTAGCTAGCCATTCACACCCAAAAATAGGTCCTACGAATAGGTCTTGGACGGCGTGGTAAGGGCAGGGATTTGTCTGGAATAATGATTCATATTTAGCTTGGTTATTCGGTTTGTGATCTGCTGGCGTAGCGTTTAAGAGTGAGCAGTCAAAGCGAAAAACAGGCTAACCTACCTGCTAATCCTGTTCTGTGGATCCATGCGTGCTGTTGGTAGTCATTGTGAAAGTAAATAACTTCCAGGTTGAAAACTCCGCCTCGCAATTGAGCTCCGCCCACATTGTTTCCCGGTTCTTTTTAAAAAGATATTCATATTTTTATTATGGGGGGCTACTTCATCTTTACAGCTTCTATACCTTTTTTTTTTCAGTAATGTATTTTTGTACTTCCACTTAATTTATTTCTGTATCTATTTTACTTCTGTTGGTTTTTTTTCCTCTGCAACCACTTACTTCCTATTTTTTTTTATCTCACTTCTATAGTCTGCTATTTGTGCTTTTATGGAATCTCCCCTAATTTCTTACACGAACAAAAATTGCATCAATAATTACATAATTACAGAATCATAACTACTTAATATCACTTTTGTAATTAAATAACTACTATAATCTTTGTTGTCACATGCTTTTTTTTATGCAACTGAGATAAAGCAGATGAATGGTTGTGTAAAAGAACAGCTTGTTTTTCCACATTGTCAGTACAGCCCGCAGACATTCACAGGTGTGTCTGGCAGTTACAACTTTTGTTTTGAGAAATAGTTAACAAGGGTGTGACATTTCTATAGAAGTCATAAGATTTTATATGACCCCTTTTTTTATCATCTACCATCTACATCCTATGCACGCAAATAGGCTTTAGCGCCATAAAGGGCAACTGTCTTTCTTTGCTCGTGTCCTAACAATGAATACCACACCTGCTCTGAATGGATGAATGCAGCAATCATAAAACATCTGTCCTCCCTTTTTCTTTTTTAGGCTCAGCACGAAGGTCGCTGTGAGTTCGAGCGGATACAGTGCGAGGCCTGCCACACCTCGATTCTTCGTACGGAGAAGGACAGACATAATGAGAGAGAATGTGAAGCAAGAACCCTGAACTGTAAATACTGCAAAATGACCTTCAACTTTAAAGACATCAAGGTGAGATATAGAAGCTGTGTAAAGCAGTTGCTGGTAGTGTCTGCATAAATGGGCCCTTATTCTCATACTCCTTTTGTGGTGTATTTTAGGCCCATGATGAGATCTGTCTGAAGTTTCCCTTACAATGCAAGGACTGTGGGAAGAAGAAGATCCCAAGAGAAAAGGTTTGAGCTGTTCCTCAAATGACCCTTTTATTTTCCATATTAATCTCTATGTGGGGTTAAGAGATTTTATTTAAAATTACTCTGTATTGTAATGCTTTTCCTCTCCGAATAAAGGCTTCTAGGTGTTTTACTTAAAATAAAGCTATAAAAGGGACTATCTTAAGTTCTACCTAAGCATAGAATATTCACTGAATATAGCATTTACAGCCTAAGCAAATATGCAACACCTTACCCCGAATTCCCCAGAATGCATGCAGAAGATCATACAAAACACAAACCACAGAACATATAAGTTACAATAAATCATTAAACTAGAAGTCTGAGTTCTGACCACTTCTTTCTGACCTCCAAAAAACCCTCCAGTACTTCACTTTCACTTTTCTGTTTTAGTTGATATAATCTTTTGGAGCTCGTCCACTAATTCTTTAACTTTTGTTTTTGTCCTTTCTACTTTCAGTTCAATGACCACAGCAGGTCCTGCGCCAAGTCAAAGAGTGCCTGTCCATTCAGTGAAGTGGGCTGTAAATCTGTGGTATGTACCGAAATCGAACTTGTTTAAACTATGTTGGAAGATGTCTTGCAGTCAGGAGACAGTTAGCTTAGCTTAGCATAGAGACAGGAGTCAAGGATAAACAACTAGCTGTAGGTGGGTGGGTGACAAAATCTTTATACTACAACCTGTGAAAATAGAACGAAAAATAGTGTGGCACGTAACACCTCCCAATCAAGATATAATACGTTAACTAGTGAGCTTTATATGTGCTGATAGGTGGATAGAGCTAGGCTAGCTGTTTGTCTTTATACTAAGCTAAGTTAAATGCCATTAGCTTTATTTTTAGTCTACCGGCATGTGAATGAAGTTGATCTTTTCTTTTAACTCTCGATAAGAAAGAAAAATGTGAAACTACTCGTTTAAAAATCTGTACTAAAAAACGCTTCACAGTCGAAGCCGACCAGTACATCAGTGTGGCTGATATTATCAGACAGTTTTAGCTTATCACAGATTGATCCTATCAGTGTACAGGTAATGTATGAAATATTAACAAATTGCAGTGCAGAAATAATAAAAGTAGTAGTAGTAGTAGTAGTATTTTAGAGTTTAGTAATTTTAGTAATTTTAGAGTTAGTTTAGTAATTTAGATATTTAAATTAATAATTTAGCACTGGGTTGCCATTACATAATCATTTCACCAGAGAGCAATGACAAGGTTATTTTTTAACTGTTATTTCTCCCGCTCGGTTCATATCTTGGTCAAAATCATTTATAGGCACTGAAAACGTATTTGATCAATTAGCTTCTTACCATGATCACTGGGGTCGTACATGAACACATTACTTTCTTCACATTAGAGATTTCTCTCTGGGCTGTTTTTTGTCTGAGCTCTTCTGACTGCTATAAAGTGGGCGGGGCTCATTTAAAAACAGTGATGTCACATACGTCCCTGTACCAATCAGGGTTGAGCAACATTCAAATCAAAATCTGATGACAGTTGAGTTGAGCAGTTGTTTTCATACGTTTCCACCATTGACAGTATAAATACAGTGTTTCCACACCCTGATGAAGCAGATTAGATTAGTAATTAACTGTTAAATTGTTACTTTTATAGTTTTGAATATTTAATGTTATATTTGTTAATATTAATGCAGTTGTTAAGATTCCAAACCAGATTGTTTATGTTATCTGTCAAAATCCAACAATTGATAGATTTTTTTGTGAATAATTGAAAAATATTCTATTGTTTTGGCTCTTTCACAACAAGATTATTATTATAAACCGTATCCTCACTGAAACAGAAAGACCCAACTTTACAACCCTGAAAACTTAAACCACAAAGCATTATAGCTCAGTTAATCACTGATACAATCTGACTGGACCAATTAAGCACTGCAGCTTGAAGGTTTTCAGTTTGGTCCGACTTACAGTAGCAGCTAAATAAATTCTGTTGTGTTTCTCAGATAGAGAACGGGAAGCTCAGCGACCATGAGCACAGCAGCACCATGGAGCACTTGCGTCTGCTGCTGCCCATGGTGCTGTCCATGGTTCGGACACGCGCTGACGCTTCTGGTCCTGGAGAGTGGCAGGAGGACTCTGGTCTGGGCCTGTACAGGGCTCCTGAGGAGGGAGTCCCTGTGGGCACCGGAGCTGCAGCCTCTGTGCAGTCTGTGGACTTGGAAAAAAAGGTGAGTCTCAAATGGGTTATATTCTCTTTGTTAACCACTAACATTCATAGGTTTTGAATGAGAATCTAAATCTATTCGTTGCTTCTTATTTTCTTTGACAGGTAAACGCTTTAGAAAACATCGTGTGCGTCCTGAACCGAGAGGTGGAGCGCAGTTCCTTCACAATGGAGGCTTTCTCGCATCAACATCGTTTAGACCAGGAAAAAATCGATGTCCTCTCCAACAAAGTGCGTCAGCTGGAGCGGACAGTCACGATGAGAGACTTGCAGCTGTCTGAAACCGAACAGCTGGTGCGAGAACTGCAATTCTGCACCTACGACGGGATATTTGTCTGGAGAATCGCCGACTTCTCACGCCGAAGGCAGGATGCCGTGGCTGGCCGAACACCTGCAATGTTCTCTCCAGGTGAGATGAAAGACATGTTCACCACCCATCATGCATTTCAAAGCTCCTCTGTGTCTGTCTTGAAAGGTTATTTGGCGTGTAGTCAAGGGAAATTCCACTTCAATACACCCTTGTTTTCCTTCAGGGAGTCTATTTGTCACTCCCATTCTCACATGACATTGTTTTTTTGGCTCTCGTTTTACATTCTGGGTTCTTCTGTTTCTCCCTCGCAGCATTTTACTCCAGCAAATACGGATACAAAATGTGTCTGAGGCTCTATTTGAACGGCGACGGGACAGGGCGAGGAACACACCTGTCGCTCTTCTTTGTTGTCATGAGGGGCAAGTGCGACGCGCTGCTCAAATGGCCATTCAGTCAGAAGGTAGGAAGACTCATAAACCATCTTTTCCACCCATTTTAATCCACCGTCGCCACAATAAATGGCACAAAACCAACTCTCCTCTTCTCCACCTCTTTTCCCAGGTGACTCTAATGCTCTTGGATCAGAACAACAGGGAGCACATTATCGATGCTTTCCGCCCTGATGTCACCTCCACCTCCTTTCAGCGGCCGATCAGTGAGATGAACATCGCCAGTGGCTGCCCGCTCTTCTGTCCGCTGGCTAAACTGGCTGGCAAGAGCCCGTATCTCAGAGATGATACAATTTTCATCAAAGCCATTGTAGATCTCACAGGCTTATAGGGTGTGGACTGTGGAAGTTACACCAAAGCATCAACAAACTACAACAGTAACAAAGAATATAAACAATAATAGGAATAATAAGAATTAATAATTATATATATATATATACTATTTATTAAAACTATATCGTTATATGTATTATAATATATCTACACTATACGTTAAGAATGACAAGATTTTCTTGGGAGTGTCACATTATGGCGGATATACAAGGGCGTGTAAAATAACAATCATGGAGGTGGATCTGTAATGGTTATGGACATCCATCTTAAGTGAATAAATCAATGTGACTTATAAGATTTATGTTATTTTGTTAATGTCTTGTATATTAAAGAAGAACTTCGACCACATATACAGAAATATATATAGCAGGCGTTAGGGAGACGTGCTTAAAACAATTAGAGAGTTTTAGTTACAACAATTAAATATCTCTAATGATAAAAGCGGGTCTCAATTATCACAATGTGACACTCCTGGCATTCAAATGAAATCTTATAAATAACTAATATTTATATCAAATATATATATATATATATACTGTGTATATATACTATAATTATAATAATACTCCATAGTCAGCTTTGCATTGTGTGGTTCTTCACATCAGTCTCAGTATAGTACAAATATTTTCACTCTAATAAAAAACAACAGTACTTTAATGTTAAAAGTAGATATAGCATGCAACTCTTCATCATCAACCGTCACCTCTAGTGTCGTAGTGTAACCCAGCACGTACGTTTGTCTATATGAGTATTTGTTTGCTAAATGAGTGTTAACATATTAGCTCGAACTTACCGAGTAACCTAGAGAATGCGCTTCAAAAAAAAGGCCTTACATTGACCACTAATACAAGACTGGAGTTTAATTAATAGCAAGTATAGCAGTTTAATATTGCAAAACAAACACTTATATACTTATATACCACTTAACTAAGTTATAATCTTCATAACTTATATTCCATATTTATTATATCCATCTCTTTTCAGTATACATTATTCCTAGTAATAGTTTATACTTTATACTAATAATACTTTGGTGTAGTTTTTGATTATACATGTATGACGTACTTCTATCATAATCACCCTTTGTTGAAGATTTATTATCTTTGAAATGTAGAAATAAATAAAAAACTATTGAGACAATTGTGACATTGTTTGTAAGCTCTTGGTCATTTACTTTGTTTATAGTAAATATGTATACCTGAATGAAGTACAACATTAAAATGTAAAAGCCAACTTTGAGTTTTTGATGAAAAATATTCTGGAGTAACAATAAAGAATTGCATACTTCACCTTGGTCCAAACAGTTGATTAAACAAGAAAATACTGGAATAATGACAATAATCATTAGATTCAGCCCTACACAGAGAAACTATATCCACTACTCTACCTGTAGATGAAGCAGAACTTAGATAACAGTCATAGTACACACTAGGGCTGCACAATACAGCGTCAAAAAATGTAAATATTGTTTAATTTGATAGATATTACGATAGGATTTACGGATTTGCGTCACAATTTCCAGTTTCACTGAAAGAAAATGATTCAAATCCTGATGATCTGACATTTATTGGGGTCTGTACCAAATACACACATTCAGAGAACAAGATTTGTTTGTTGTCTCTGCAGCACTACAGTACTTCATTATGATTGCATGTTCTGTGATTTGGATATTGTACTTAGCCATATCTCGATAATAATTTGATTAAAGATGCACCCTTAGTACAGATGGGCTTTATTATAAACAACCATTATCATGTCTACCCTATATGTTGACGTCATCAAGTGAGGATCAGCAATAACAACTGCTTATGTCATAAATTGCCGAGAATTGCAGTATCTTCATTGAGTTCACCGTGCTGATATTCATCTTGTGATGTTCTCAAAAAGTTGCATGTGAATGAGACAATTTTCCCCTGTGGGCCACTGTAGGCGATCTTAGGTGGTTCTCGGGTGCTTTCTGGTACGGTTGAGGGACGTATCAGTTTATCAAATCGCCTATAGCAACTGGGACTGTTTACACCATCTGCAGACAAAAATAACAACCACATGCTAAACCATTGCCACAAAGCTGCCTATCAGGCTGTTACTGGTTAGACTGGTTACTGGTGTATTCTGTTTGCTGTTGACATGAATGTGGTGGACATGATGTACTTTTCCTCTAAAATTTATGTTTCTACCGACTGTTGGCTGGAGTCATTTCCCAAAACATTATATTTAACAATCTATAAAAGGGGAACTCCATGAAGGTCAGTTTTGTTACGAAGGGCAACTACTCAGCCTATGAAAACAATTACGTGTTGTTCTGGAGTTTTATTAAGTTTAAGTATGGGGGCAGTTACCAGGCAGGGTGCATCTAATAAAAAGACGCTGTCGGTGGCATTATGGGAAATGTTTAATGCCGTGTTTTTGGTATTTGACTCATCCAGTGGACACAGTTGTCTCTGGCTTTTCTGTAGTACAGTGTCAGGGAAGGTGCACATTACTGAGACTGAAACGAGAGTGCACGTCAGTTTCCTTCTTAGTTGCTTTATAACCCCGTCACACACAGACCCCGTGGGACTGAATGACGCAATATATCGTATATCAGGTTCAAACATCCAGATCCAACAAACGATCGCTTGTATTTCCCTCGACTACATGCCAAGAGTTATGATCAAATTACATGATCTTAGCTCATTCAAACTCAAAAATAACCTTTCAGGACTGATGCAAAGGACCTTTGAAATGCATAATGGGTGTTAAGATGTCACTTAAGGGTCAGGTCACAGTCAAACCAAGACTAATAAGAGTCTACAGGCATGCTTTCAACTAAATACTAACATCAACATGCTAACATGTTTAGCAGGTATAATATTTACCACGTTCATCATCTTAGTTTAACGTGTCATCGTGGTAATATCTGCTAATTAGCACAAAACTGTCACTGGTTGTTCAGATATCATCAAGTATTGGTCCCCAGATGATGTATCAGTCTGTCTGTCCACCACTTTAGTCCAGACTGATTTATTTTAACAACTACTGGGGGCCATTGATGTTGACATTCATGGTCCCAAGAGGATGAAGCCTAAGTGACCTCCTCTAGCACCACCATGAGGTTGACATTTTTATTTGTTTTCTCGTGAAATGACTCAACCAATTGAAGAAACATGGCGGTTTAACATGGCCGCCTCTGTAGATAAAAATAGCTCATCATAAGGTATATAAATAACAAAAACACACAAAAAAGGTGTATTTTCAGATGATACACTAATGAAAACTTAGCTATGAATATTATATTCCATTTCTGCCGATAGACTCACCAGGCCTTTAAATGAACAGGAGTTTACCCACTGCATTATCACCGCAGACACAATATGTTCAATAAAACCCTCCACTTTTTTGATGACTCAACATGGAAGTGTTACAGTTAAGACGTGTTGCTGCATTATTCTTCGAAGTGCTACCCACAACCAAGCCTGCATATGGGAAATGTCTTCACGGCTCAGTCTTGCACAGCACGCCTCAAGCAGACAGATGGAAAAACCCTGTTAGTTTCTGTCTGAACACTGAGGTTATTTTTTTTTAACGGCAAAATTTATCATAAAAGCCCATTCTCTTGTGTGTGGCCTGTGGGTTTCGATCCAATAACAATGAGTGTGTGTGAGGTCTGATGAAAAAACGTCCCAAAAAACTCCAAATGTACTCAAGGTCCACTTACTAGTTCTTGTAAAGCCTTCAACCGAATCTCACAGTGCTCACTCTGCGGAGGAAGAATTTAATGAATTGCCTTTAAATGATGCCATAAATTCAGTGCCAACATTCATGTCCCCCTCAGGAGGGCTTGTAATCCCTTCTATTCGCTCTAGCACCATCATCAGGTCGAACTTTCAATTTGTTCAATTCTTGTCCAACAACTAGTCGATCAGTCTATAGACAGAAAACTCATAAGCAGCTATTTGGTATTGATTTCTGAAAATTACGATGCATGCTGAAATGCAATAAAATTGTGAGAGAAAGCGAAAATTGCTAAACTAGCTAAAAGCTCAGGTTTCTGAGGGTAAATATGAGACATTCACACCGCACACGTCTGCATCTTCTCAACCAGAAACAAGGAAGTGTGTTCAGCGGCTCACTGTTTTGCGTGGGAAACTACGATTTAGTCAAATTCGCGAAAAGTTGCGCTGACTGGACAAAATTGTAGGGTCATGCAGAATTCACAGCGAAAGAGTGAATATGTGAATATTAATTGTTGCAACATTACAACTTTCTGAAGGGATTGAATCATAATGCAAAATAGTAATAGTATTCCCATGATCCTCGACTGTACTCTGTGTTGTGTGCCAATTACCAAATGCTAAACTAAGTTATTGAACATGGTAAACTCTGCCTGTTAAACATCAGCATGTTAGCATTGTCATTTTAAGCATGTTACCATGCTGGTGTTAGCATTTAGCTTTAGAAGTACAGCTTTGTCTCAGTGCAGCCTCACAGAGCCGTTAGCATGGTTAGAAAGCTCTGGCAAAGGTTGGGGGCGACCCTTGTTAGTAGAACAGAATATTAATCTTGACACTTTTGCAGACTTCTGGCCTTTCAGGGCATGCTTTTTATTTCAGGGGAGTTTGAAAATAACATTAGAGGACAGGGGAACATGATGAAAAAGATGCTACAGTTAACAAGGTTGTCAAAGGGAACTACGGAGAAAGTTCATGACTTATTACACGCATTTCAAAACATGGAAAATACTGTTCAACTGGTGGCAAGAGTCAGCTGGTGGCAAGAGTCAGCTGGTGAACTGACTAATTGACACAAGTTTCAAGAAAATATGACAAACACAACCAGACAGTTCAGGAAACGAGAAAATCCCAAAATCATGATTAATATGTAGAATCCGTCTCATCTACAGCAGGGAAAGACAAACATCTACCAGGTAAAGTACCTAAGCCTCGCTGGTTAAACTGCAACTGAAATGTAAAGTATCAGGGTTCATTTGCTATGTGTTACTTTTTGTTTTTTAGACCGGCTCTTGAGCGATAAAACTAGTAAAGAAAGTAAGGGGCTAACCACTGCACACACAAACACAGACTGGTTGCAAAAACACACGTGTGTTTATTGGGCATTTGAATATAGGCGGCAGGAAGTTTGCTGCACTTCCGAGCTCATTGTGCACTTTGTAGTGTATTGTTGCATTGTTGGCTGTTCTATTCTAAGACAATCTGTTCTTTCAACAGAATTACAAACTGAATAAAAAACTACTTACCAAATGTATTTAATGAATATTATTTCTATTTCATTTTTAAGTTAGTGAACTCAACAATTTGGGCCATATTAAAATAATGATTACCTCCTCAACCTCCTTACATTGACCAAAACATGCAATATTTGTCTTGAATGGGATATAATGGATATAAATATGTATTGTAACATTGGTTGTTCAACAGTGCATCTAATGTGCGCAGTTTAATAAGAAAGAATGCGTCTCAGGACACATTTTGGAGGATGGTGATTCTGTTTTGACAGACAGGAACAATTTGCTAACTGTGAAATTAAAATGGCCAAAGGGTAGCTGTGTATAGTTATAGTTGTATTCCAGACGGCTCTAGGTGGTTCATATGCTTCTGTCACATTTAATGATGAGAAAATAATGTATTTTTTATTTTTTATTTTAAAAAAGACTCCAGGAGACATACATGTTTGAGATTCATCCTGACGCGAGTCTTTTGACAAAATGAAAGGGTGCAGCTTTGTGCTACAAATTAATAAAGGTGTTTAAATACATGTCTACATAATATAGGTCCAAATAACAGTTAACTAACACAAACAACATTTTTTTTTTTTGCTCAGTCATGCTTCACGCCAACTGTTCTTCAACAACTCTTCTATATTAAATTACTCAATAATGCTACGTTCAATAGGGTATTGATCGACCATTTCTGGGGCACAAAAGCAATGGGATGGGGGGTAATTAAAAACCAAGGCAGACTGCAGTAAATGCAGCTAAAGGTCATCTTCCCTTTTGGTTTTAAATGGTTTTATAATTCTCCGAAAACAGGGTTTATGATGTGTTTACACTCAAGACATCAATTGGACATATCCATTAGTAAGACATTTTCTGAAATAATTCTTCAGTTACAGCACTTTGCTTCCGAAGAGCAGGACATGAGCACTGCGATCATGGGTCCCATCTCTGCAGAACATTTACACACATTTACACCTCCAGGAGTCCTGTGTCTGACCCGTTCCGACTCAACGTTACAGATAAAAAACAGACAAAAAACATCTTCTTGGGGGACATGTTTGGATGCCTGTCTTGTGCATTTAGGTGTCAGGTCTACACTATCTCTATCTGTGAGAACACGTCATATCACTCGTCTCAACAGAGTCGGTGCTGATTTCTCTCCTTTTGCTGGTGCAACATCGCCCTCTTGTGTCTAACCCTGAGTCACATCACGTCCCGTCTCCAATTACACTGTAAGACACCAAGCACTGCTGTGTGTCACAACACCGTGAGCTCAAGCAAAACCACTGACTGTAACCACACTGTACATATACATGGAGTGTATATATATATATATTCACACCACAGAGGAAAAAGATCAAACCTTCCTCCCCCCACTCCCTCCCTCCCACTGCTAGTGTTTCCCAACCTGACTCATGGTTTTCCATTGACGCTGCTAGGACACGTTGAGTTCTTGTTGCGGCTCAGCCAGGACGACAGGAGGCTGCGGGGCCTCGTTGGCCTGGCGGGGGTCTGCGCCAGGCGGACCATGCGCGGCGAGCGCCACACCTTAATGGTAGAGTCATCGCTGGCAGACAGCAGCAGCTCCTGGTCAGCGGGGCTAAACGCTACCGAGTTCACCACGTCTTCGTGTGCCAGACGTGCCAGACAGATGTTATAGTGACGGTCCCAGATGTAGCCGTGTTTGTCTTCTGCTCCACTGTGGGAGTGGAGTGGAGAGATAGGTCAGTCAAAATATTTCTACACTGTTGTCAAAGCATTTGCTGTGGTCTGTTATTTCTACGACTGCAACAAAAGAATCATCGATCAATCTGCTATTTTCTACATTAATAATACATTTATAATATTCTAGTAATCACAGGTTCCCAGAAGCCCAAGCTGACGTCTTCAAATCGCTTATTTTTACTGACCAACATTCTCAAACCCAAAGATATTTGCTTTTTTATCAAATAAGACAAAACAAAAACTGCAAATCATCAAGTTTGTGATCCTGGAACTGCAGAATTTTTAGCATCTCTTGACAAAAGAAACATTTAGAAAAATAATGAGTTATCACATTGTTGCCAATTAATCTTCTCTGCCTTTCAATTGACTTACCGATTAATAGACTCTTACGTTTCAGCTCTTAACTTTACCTGCTTTGATGTGGTTTCATCGTACGAGACTAATACACTATGAATGAGAATATGTGCCAAACATAATTTACAATCGGTGGTATTTAAATATTAAAGGATAGGTCGAGTCTGTCTTAAAACAGTAGTATGGTCGCTGTATGGTCGCTGTAGTCTTCCATACTGACAATCAATGTAAGTGACGTTCTGTGTATTTTGATTTGACAAAGTCAGACTGATAAAACCTCACTTGCTTTGACTGAAAGGTGCACAGAACGAGGACTTTGGATTTTGTCTCCCATCGCTTACATTTAAATCACACAGGAAATGGATCTCAGTATGGACAGGAGGAAAGATTACAGCAACCATAACTCTTTAAATGTACATATGGACATGTGAGTATTGTTTTAAATAAAACGGTGACCCTATCCTATAACACAAAAGCAATATAGTACTTGAATGAAAGCTTAACAATGTGATTGCTAAGCTGCACATAAGTGCTGATATAGATAATTGTTTTTCCATATTCACATATGGATACCTTATTGCTTACCATGATTACATGGTATTGAAACTGACATTATAAATACAATTATGACAAAACTGGCAGCAGAAAATGCAACATAAATAACTCAAAACAGAGGTAAAACATTCTTCAAAACGTTGCCTTATTTCCATATAACTTTTGGTTTATTCTGACTGTAATAACCTCTGGAAAAACGCATTTCCTTTTTATGTATTGCACTCTTTCAAACAAAAAAGACGATAAATAACAGATTATTATGCTGTCAAGAAGCAGTTATTTGTGTTTGCTTTGGAAATCCCCCAAGACTATTAACCGCTATTTCTCAGGGTAATCAATAACACCCACAAGGCAAATACTCTAACATAAAAGCAATCCAGGCTTCTATTCTGAAACTGTTTTTTTGGGTGGAAATTAATCAGAAATGTATGTCTCAGTTAGTAAAAAGTTCCTATCCTGAACCATTGTTTTTCTCTTTGGAGGTTCATCATACAGAGCAGAGGTGCATCATCACTCTCTCTTATTGAAAGGAATCATTTCTATCATCTTGTTACTGTTTTGCTCCTAAATGAAACCTCAAATCTCCAAGTGTATCCCCTACATCTTGTAAGTGTGATTCTAGTAAGTGTAGGTGCTTTCAGTAACACCGAGTAAATAAATTACCCAAGCTGCTCCGGTAAGAATAGCAGCTGTCATTCACCCAAGCTACAGGTTAACATTATTTTAAAACTATGTGACCACAAATTTCACACCATTGTAGTATCATTTCCCTATTCCAACACGACCACTAAATGACAAAATGCAGGCAAATTAAAGGTGAAGGTAAAGGCTGCAAGTGTGAAAGCTGCATCTATTCTTGGAAAAGCAGATGGTCTCCGGTCACCCACCTGGCAACAAAGTCCCTGCTGACATCAAGGAAGATAAAGAAGCACTCGTCGTTAGGCGTGAAGGCTCGGTGGGCACGCAGGCTCCTTCTCTCTTCCCTCAAACTCTTCAGGTCGATCACATGCAGGTCTATCTCCTCTGCAATGGGAGGAGGGGACATGGGGTCGGAGATCACACACCCGGCAGGCCATGCCCGGCTATTCACATAAAGGTACCTGATCAATGAAAGGAAAAGAGTCATGAAAAGTCAATACATGTGTTACATTGGTACACTGACACAGATATATGCTGTTAAGCTAGTGTGTCAAGATCTATTTTGGGTTCTGAAATGACAAAGAAAATAGTAAGTGATCACAAGTACACAAAAGTATGTGGATAGGGCATATATATTTGTATATTTGAGCTTTGTTTCTACATTATTTACTTACCTGTGGTCTGGAGAAAGGCCCATACCAATGATGTGCCCATGTATATCAATGACATGGTCCAGGGAATCAAAAAATTCCTCTGAACTCCGCTCTTCCCCGAGAACTGGACCACAAGTGGTCATCTGGTCGGGTTTGATCAGCTTAATACCTAGAAGGAGACAAAATCGACTACATGAGAGGAGACGTCTGACAGCATTGTGTGTAATCTTTTCTTATGTTTCTCGAAGATGTTTGCGTGTTTTGCAAGCAATCCTACCTATCTGGTGAGGGGAGTATGTAAGGCTGCCGGTGGTGAAGAGTAAGTACGTTTTGTCCTCTCCCTCACCAGGGTCAGAGGGCTCAATGAGGCTGGAGTCAGGGGCCTTTGTGTAGGTTCTGCCCATCATCTGAGCCACCTGGGTCTCAATCTCCAGGTCCTGGATCTTTATATTTTTACAACTCTAACAGGAAGGAAGAAAAACAAAAAGAATGATGAAGAGGATTTTTCTTTTTTTAAATGTTAAAAATGCCTGAGCTGTTCACCTAGCTCACCTGTATAATGTGCTCCAGCCCTGTGATGGTGGGCTGAGGAAGGCGGCCAGCGGGGAGGCCGGAACACCTCGCCTCTTCCCTCTGGCGCTCCTCATCCTCCTCTGCCTCATCTTCTTCCTCGCTGCCGGAGGTTCCCAGGTCAAAGAGGAGGGGCTGGTGCTGCTGTTGCTGCTGCCCTTTCTGCCTTCGAGCCTGAGACTGAGCCTCGTAGTCCAGCAGCAGGTCCGGGTTGTCGTGACGACGGCAGTGGGCCACCATCACTGTGCGGATGGTGCTGGCATTGATGTTCTGGATCTTGAAAAGGCGCTTGACTACGTTGACGTTCTCTGATTCAACATCCTGTCGGAGAAATGAGAAGGGTGAGGAGGGAAGATATTTTGGAGAATATGTTTGTTTTTGTTTTTTTTTAAATAGTATTTGAATATGAAAATACTTTAAAGATGTTCCAGATGTTGTACAATGATTAGAATCCCATGGCACAACAAAAGCTAAAAAAATTCTTCCTGTAGGTCCTTCATCTGCATTTGGAAAAGAAAGATTTTGACTGCCGTGCCCTTGGTCTCACCTGGAAGGCTTTATTGAGCCACAGCACAGAGCAGGACGTCAGGTTGCCTATCCAGTGCAGGTTCCCAGAAATCAAGTGGGTCTCGTTCAGCCAGCAGCCAAACACGTCGTATGGCTTATTCCTCACACGTGACAACAGCGAGTAATTTTCTTATTTTTGTGTGTTAAGACATGGGGAGAATGGGAGAGTTGGAAACACACATTAATGAAGAAACACACGCAAACTTTAGGCTCTATTGCAGAACTGTTGTATTAGACTGCATTCATTATAATATGTTGGTGTATAGAAAGTTATAAACTGGCAACTGACAATGAGTTTGTTTTCCTCATTTTATGTGACACAGAATTGTGGATTTTAAGTTGCAGTGTGTACGATTCAGTGGCATTTTGGTTTGTCCATTCTGGGCTACTGTGGAAACTAGCGATGTCATGATCAAGTTTTTAATTATAATTTAATATTGAGTATCTGCCGATACTGAGTCCCTATCTGTATTTCTTTTTCAGATAATACATTGCTCGGTGAACAGTAAAGTTATTCAAATCAATCCAATATATATGCTTGACAACTGAATTGCTCTGCATTGCATTAAGAAAAAATGCCGGCATAAAAGCTGTTCCTTAGTTGTTGTTTTTTAAACAAGAAAGTAAAAAATAACAAACCCTCTCTGTAATCTTACCTGAATGAACTCTCTCTGTATTCTGTTGAGTGTTTATTTAAATCGTCTGTACATCTTCTGCGCAGATTACATTAATTAATCTCTACTGCTGTCTGTGCTCCGAGCAGACGTAGCCCTGCCCACCGTGAAACTCCACAGCAGGCGGGGCTACCTGTGGACTGACACAGAGCTCAGAGTGGACACGGCAGAGAGAGTTGACAAGTTAACATCTGCGTGACAGCTGTCGTAAAACAAAAGATCGGATAAGGTCAGTAAAGCTCAATATAGAGCAGTTAGATCAGTTAAAAAATGCCTTGATCGGTGCAGATACCGATCGCTGAGATCGGATTGGGACATTCCTGGTAGAAACATGGTGGTTCAACATGGTGGACTCTATTCTCATTCTAAGGTAACGAAAACATAATGATTTTTACTTTCAGGTAATTTTACACTCATGAAAACGTACTTTTGAATATTATATTCCATTTCTGCCAAGTGTTACCCACTGGACCTTTAACGTAGATGATGACTCTGTAATTTATTGCATAATTACTATCTGTACATGTTATTTCTTATACATGTCACGCATATCAACCTGCATCAGCCTTCTGCACGCAGAACTGTTACTTGTCGCTCACACACACCTTAGTTTGTGGGAGGAAAGATGTCCACAAGAAATGATTGCGAAAACTAAAACTAACTCATCTTCAAGAAAAACAACAGGAAATGATGATGCACAACTGCTGCGCTTTTTTGTTGTTGTTTGTTTCCTACCCATACTGATGACAGCGATTTCCCCAGACGATGAGTGGTGTGGGCCCAGGTAGACACCAGACACGAGCAGCAGGGTGTCGTCGGCGTTGAACTGGGAGAACTGGGTGTAGCCCCAGTTAAACTGCCGCATGCTGGAGCTGTGCACCAGCGAGATATTACCATCTTGCCGTTCCGTGTCCCATAGCTGCACACAACAAACCACAACACAGGGTTGTAAAGAAGTGAGCGTCTAATAAGAAGGATGACTGACGATCTGACACCTGCTGAACAATTAAATGCACTGGTGCAACAACTCTTTTGAAGAAATCCTTTTCCAGGACTTTTTCTTGACATCATAGGACAGCACTCGCTCACAATGGTGGTCAGCGTTTGTAGGACATTTACTTGTTAGTTCGATTTTGTGGCTGTTCTCACTACAGTCGATTTTTCCTTTTGCCTCAGCGGAGCATAAATAACAGTTCAGATGAAGTAAAATTCCTTTTATTTTACAGAAAATTCATCTTCTCACCTATTAACCTTTTGAAAGAAGAGGTAGAAAGTACAAGGGTTTGTTGCACATAAAATTAACAATCGTCAACCATAACAAGAAATGTAAATTTAAATCATTTATAGGCTCTATGCTTGTAGATGTGATCATCTTCAGCATTTCCAAAATAGATCTGATGCCCAAAGTTCGCTGCAAGTGGTGTGAACAGTTCTTAATTGACAGAAATGAAAAAAGAGCATGTTTCCGTTCGGCTTTGCGTCTGGTGAACCAGCTTTGAAGTGTACCATACCACCCTGCTTATCCTACCAACAGTTGAGTTTCAAACAAAATACACACCCAGGTTAATGTAATCCGAGTGAAGGACTAAAATACAATACCAGGACAAGATATTTGGTCATTTCGATCAATTTCCAGTCGTTCGTTCCTTTTTTTGTTGTATATTTTATCATGTATACAGTAAGTCTTCAATATGAAAATTACACCAATAGATCACATAATTATATCAACATTATTTCATTATAAATCTAACAAAGCATCCATTTGCATCTGAATATTAGTTCTGAAAGTGTAGGCTTCATCATAAAATGTACTGATTATGATCCAGCTGTCAATAAGCCTGCACATTTGACGGGTTGGGCTTAGAGACTTGATGCTCTGACAGCAGTTACATGATTTTAATCAGCTTTGAGGAACCAAAAAAGTCCAGACTCATGTCAAATCATAAGTTCTAATCTGGTTTTCCACGTAAGAAGAACAGATGTAAAGGATGCGACTAGATAGAAAATATGGTTACTTTAAATCCAGCACTACTTTTGCCCAATTATTGATCAGGGTTAACATTTTATCACCTGCTTCACGTGTTGTTCACAGTCAAGAATCAACCAAAGTGCCAACATTTAAAAACCAAAAATGTGACTGAAATAAGATTTAACCTTCTAATGAAAACCCTAAAAGTACTTATCATCTAGTCTATCTCATATCCTATCATGTATCATGTGAGAGTTTCTAAATAAATCATTTACCACAGCATGTGAATGCAGCATGAGTTGCATTGTGAGAGGACATGTTTTAATCTGTTTTTTTATTATTATTACAGGAGCTTTCTTTGGCCCTGCAGTGTGCACGTTAGAGCTAACCAGAGAAAAGAAAAGCCCCACAGTTATGTTGGCAGAAAGTAAGAAAATAAGATCCAGGATGAAAGTAACCGCAATAATCTTTTAATCCCTACCTTAACAGTGCAGTCTTTGGAGCAGGAGGAGAACCGGTGACCCCTGTGAGAGAAGGCCAGGTGGAGGACTTGGTCACTGTGCTCTTTCAGCGTCTGAACCTCCACACAGGGGATACAGTCAAACAGACGCTTGAACTCCCTGTACCACGACACAGCCGCTGCACAAAGGTAAACAAGGTTATTTAAAGCTCCGACTGCTCGAAATATCTATACCCAAAGCTGCTATCGAGTCAGTGTGTTTAACAGGATGCTGAATTCTTCTGTTGAACGTACGGTTATATGTTTTTTTACCTGGGTGTCGGGGTACAGAGCGTGGTATGCGGTAGTAGCTGTAGAACAGCTCCCTCCAAAGGAACTCATCTCTGGAGACGGCCAGCCATTGTCTGCAGGTCAGACCAGCGCTCAGCACGGCATCATGGGGCAGACGCAGGAAGATCTCCAACACCAGGCTGTCTGGCAGAAATGGGCCACACTCCATCCTAACATCCTGTGTATCACACAAACACACACACAGGGTTTGTAGTTACTGATAAATGGACGTTTAGTCATTTAGTAATGGATCGAGACATTTTTACCACTGCATTAAAGATATTTCACCTGTTCGTCCGTAAAATGTTCGACAATTGTGATCACATTTTCCTACAGCCTGTCTTGTTTTGTCCAACTAACAGTCCAAATATATTCACTTTATTGCTACGATTAGACACAGAAAGCAGTAAATCCTCAAGTACAAAGCTGTAACGAGGTAATGTTACAACTAATTGTTTCAGCTCTAGTCAAATACATACAGACCACATGACTGGAGTTAATTTAAGATAAGATAAGATAAGCCTTTATTAGTCCCACAATGGGGAAATTTCAAATTTAATCAATCAATTTAATACTTTGCTTATAACTTGACTTTGATGCTGATTTTGCAAAAAGTAGCTTGAAATAAACTGGTTTAAACTGAAATTGAGGATTGTTTTTTACACTAATAAAATAAAAAATAAAAGAGTATTTCAGGCAACGGATGATAAGGATGACTAACCAATTTTAAGATGCTCGGGTACACACTAAGTCTGCTGCAAACAATTATTTTCATTATCTAATTTTATTATTTGCAGATTATTATTGTCTCTGTCGTTTTTTTCCCCTATAAACTGTCAAAAAACAGTGTAAAATTCACAGTTTCCCTTCAAAAGTCTTAAATTGTGCAACCAGACTATTGGTCCAATGTGTTTTTTTCTGTTTTATTTGTCTTTTTAGTTATTTACCAATGTGTTTTTCTGTATTATTTGCCTTTTTTAGTCATCCACTGTACAGCACTTTGGTCAGTTTATACTGTGTTTAAGTGGTTTTACAAGGGTTGCTTTATAAATTAAATTTACTTTGATGGCTACTTACAGCAAGGTCCAAACCCTAACAATAACTGTTACAGTTACTTATCATACATGGGTTTACTCTCGATACATGTTTACTCTCCATAACATGTTTACTCTCATACATGTTGTACTTATCATAAAGAAAAGCAGCAGATCGTCACAACTAATTGATTAAACCACAACTTGTTTCAGCTCCAGCACCTAGAGGTCACACTGCATTATAACTATAACCTATCTATAATTGAGAAGTCATACTATTTTGCAGTGTGCACCCATAAATAACTTGAGGCCCAACCATTACTGGGACTAATTTGAGCCTGACAGCTGAGAGCTGTTACCCGTGTGTGTGTGTGTG